AGTACTTGAGAATTAAACATGGATGAGAGAGGAGGATCACCAAACACTTAAGAAATGTATCAATAGGACTTCCAGTCAAGATAGAAGCATAGGTAAATATGGTGCTCGAATCCTCCCACATCCACATCAAATTTACAACTCAACTACAGAACAATCATCATTCAGAACTGCATGAAATCTAGCTGACTAGAAGTCCTACAACTAGGGATTTTAAGGAGAAACCATGTCAAGACTGGGAGAAGAGGTGGAGATACAGAATGCAATGGTTTCAAACCCATGTGTAGCTGTTAAAAATCAAGAGAGAGATCTCAGCTACAAAGGCACTACCTTAGGAGTGAGGGGTCCCAACCAGGTCCCCCAGCACAGGGTTCCAGAGCCAGGAAGAGAAGTCCCAGAACTTCTGACTATAAAAACCAGGAGGGACTGTGGCTGAATGAAACAAAGGCTGTTAGAGTACCAGGCAGTTCTTCTTAAAGGGCCCACACAGACTTACTTGGATTCACTCCCTCTGAACTCCAGTGCTGGGGTAGCAGCCTGGAAGACACCAGGACCATCATATGGGAAGGAGCTGACTTATCTGGCATCAGGGCAAGAGTTGGGGGGACAGTTTTCTGCTAGACAGAAGTGCTGGCAGAGGTCATTGTTTCTTTTCTGAGATCCTCCCCCCACAGAGCTGGCAGGCAGGTGCCATATATGAGTATTCATCAACCTGGCTTACAAAGTTCACCCCACCAAACTTGCAGACCTACCCAAGCCATTTCCAGTGGCTTTTTCATACAAATTGCTTATCTTGTATTCTGCTGCAGTCTTCCCTATAATCTCTCAAAGACTAACAAATTGCAAACAAGCAGTATCTGGCCTTAGCATGCCCCATACCTTTCGTTAATGGCACCAGGCCTGGCACTAGATGCAGCTGGCCTTCGTTCTCACCTTGGCCTCTCCTGAGACCTCCAAGTCCAGCACAAGTAGCAAATGTCTTCAGATCACTCTATAACTTCTACCAATGGCCCCAGGCAGAGCACAGGCAGTGGCTGACCTTGCACCTCCCAGGAGGCCCAAGAGCCAGTTCACCCAGTGGACAGCTACAGACCACACCAGATTACAACTCTTATCATCTCCACAAGTGACACACTCAAGAGGCAGACTTGATGAACACCAATACCCAACTAAAGCAAGTCCTGGTCTAGAGATTGGCTTCTACATAACAGCTCCTTTGCTGTAGTCACAGCCAGTAGGCCTGGGGGTCAATCCCTTCCAGTGATACCAACTGCAGTCAAGGCTCAACTATAACAAACTAGTGCACACAGCCCACACAGAGGTGTTACTGGAGCAACCATTCAGGTAACCGAGGAGGTTGAGCCATTGGACCCTACAGGACACTTACTACACAAGACCACTATACCAAGTCCAGGAGATGCAGCAACTCTAATACATAGAAATAAGCAATCAAGTTTCAACTATAACAAACTAGCACACACAGCCCACACAGAGGTGTTACTGGAATGCCAGTATGAAAAACAATATAGCAGTTCCTCAAAATTTTAAAAATTATATGATCCTGTATCTCCACCTTTGGGTATATATTCAGAAGAACTGAAAGCAGGGTCTTGAGGAGATATTTGTACATCCAAGTTTGTAGCAACATTATCTACAATAGCTAAAATGTAGAGACAACCAAAATGACTATCAAGGGGTGAAGAGATCAACAAAATGCAGTACGACATGAACGGAAACTTGAGGACATTGTGCCAGTGAAATAAGCCAGTCATAAAAAGACATACTGTACGATTCCACTAATATGAGATATCAGAGCAGTTAAATTCATAGTAACAGTAATAAAGCAATTGTTTATTTAAAAAAACACAAAAATGCCATTAAATTTATTAGATGATATTAAATTGACTAAATTTAGGGCTCATTCCCAAATATGAGAATTTATTTAAAACAATTCATTTTGAGTTAATTTAAAATTATATATAAATTCCCTTAATATTTATGAATGAAATTTAATCAGCCATTATCAACTCTGCATTTTGTAGGCCACTAAAAATCTCAATGAAGTCCATGATGATAAGTGAAAAAGTGTTGCATCTGCAGTCATTTCAGTGCAGTGACATCTCAAGACAATTGAAATTGCCAGTTAGATGAAGAAACAGTCTTAAGAAACCAGAAACTTTGAAAAGAAAAATAGCTAAAATGACCAATGCACCATTCTCTAGGAAACAAACTCAAATTTTGTGTGGAAGGCTTCAAGTCAAAATACTGTCAATGTATGAAGTTTGATTTCTTTTTTTTTTTTTTTCATTTTAGAGGAAGAGAAAAATGGAGAGGGAGAGGGGGAAACACTGACTTGTTATTCCACTTATTTATGCATTCATTGGTTGTTGATTCTTGTAGATGCCCGGATCAGGGATCAACCCACAGCCTTGGCATGTGAAAACAATGTTCAACCAACTGAGTTACCTGGCTAGGGCCTGATTTCATCTTTGACAGGTTCCTTTCCCAGGAAGGCGGCAACTTCCTTGGCTTTGTTTTTTTTTTGAATCGGGGCTTATTCTAACTTTGATTGTGAAGGAGGATATTTGTTTTCAAAGATTCAGAGATAAAACTAATGATTTTTGTGATTGTGCAGTACACAGATGGGGCCCACACAAATAACTATTTCATAGATTTAATTCATGTTCCTTGATTTGGGACAAAAACTGTTATTTATGTTTCTATGGGTTGAGATTCATAGCTTTTCTTTCTACAAACATTAAGTAGTCTGAATTATAAAATCTTTATAAATGATTTAATGGATTAAAACAGTATTTTCCATAAATCATTATTTTTAAAAGTGAATTGCTATTAAAATCTAAAAACTCACACAAAGCAAGTTACTACCTTCAAAACTCTATTTTGATGGAAACATATTTTACAATTTCTACTAATATGTAATTAAAACTAATTTCTTCAAAAATCTTACAAATTCACATTATAAAGTAATGTCAAAGATAGTGAGAACCAGAAATTATAACCATATCCTGCAAATTGATAATTTTCATTTCATAAACCATAAATTTTTATCTTAATGCCAAGATACGCAATCTATTTTGACATATCATTAGAATCACAAATGTTTGCAAGCCCATATTCATTAGGCTTCAACACAAATTTTATAAAATATATATATTGAATACAAGAACAGATAAAAATTAGACAATCTAAAATATCCATTAACTAATAAATTGATAGGTTGTCCTACTCACATAATAAAATATTACATAGCAATAAAAATTAATGAACTGTGGCTTCACTCATTTGCATGAATGGATTTTAAAGTTTTTTCATCAAAAGAAGGTGATGGAAGCATACATACAATGATTCCATTTACATAAAATTCAAAAAGAGGCAAACTAAGCAGTGCAAAACTATAAATACAAACAAGGCAATAATGAATAGAAAATCTAGGATAGTGGTACCTCTAGGGGAGAAGAGAGAATGTAATAGAAGAGGGGCCACAGTGGGTATCAAAGTATATATAATGTTCTATTCTTAAAAGAGAGGCCATGACCACATGTGTATTTGTTATTCATCCTTAAACATACACTTTGTATATAATCTGGAGATAACGAGGAAAAAGTAGAGACCTGTATGCAGACAACTCTTTTTGAAGATTATATGGAGAAAATATGTGGACAGTTAGATGTTGTTTTGCTCTTATGCTTTTTCAGATAGGAAGACAGTATCCGAGTGGCATAGAAAAAAAGGGTTCCATTAGAGAGAAGTTGAAGAAACAGAAAAGGAGACAACTGATAAAATAAGTTACTTGAGTACTTTGAAGGTCGGAGTCCAAGGCACTCCTGAAGAGGTCTGCCTCTGAAAGGAAGAGGAATTTGACCTAATTTCTAAGTACAATAGGAAAGGATAGAAACAGGTGCAGCAGACTTACTACATTTGGTGATGGGAAACCAAGGTATGTCATTATCTGATGGCTTGTTCCTCCTCTTGAATGAGGCACTATTATTAGCTGAGAGGGAAGGACCAGAACTGGTTTTGAGAAAAAGTGGAAGTGTGTTAAGAGAACAAACTGACCACACATAAATGCAGGTGCTTTCTCAGACATTTTACCTTACCTATTTCCCTTGTCTCTGTCTAGAATATATTTCCTCTTCCTCTCAGAAAGTTTTCCCATGCTTCAAGACTCACCTCACATTCTTTCCTCTGAAACAGAAACCTTTCTAACTATTCCATAGTAATATTTTCCTAAAATATTACACTTGATTTTATCAGTTTCACTTATGGACTGTCTTGCAGTAGCTGTGTTGTACATGATTTGATTTTTATGTGTTGTCTCCATAGCTACAGTACTCGAGGGCAGAAACTTTCTTTTGTGAAACTGTCCCTCCCTCTTTCAGAAAGTGTATTCTCATATACACATTGAACATTTAGATGTATTTTCTAAATGTCATCTTCTGAAACAAATATCCTTAAAAGCAAATGATAAAATAAGAGTGAACTTCGAAACCTCTATTATTTTCTTACAAGTGCTCCTGGTTTTCAATTTTTGGTTTTAGAACTTATTTTTTAGAAGACAAAGAGCCAAGGTTAATACATAATTGGTTTGCATTTTTAAATTTTAAACAAAGTATTTGTGTTCATTAAACTACTGATTTTCTAAGTAACTTTTAATTTTTTCATGGAGGTAGTTCTCCCGGAAAATGAAGTAAAATATTATCAGCAATGACAAATCATGTCAGGAATGCCATCTTGTGGTTGAGAGTAGTCCATTACACTAACAGGTCCTTTCAATGACAATCTTCTTTTTTTTTTATTGAGAGAGGGAACTGATTTGTTGACCCACTTATTTATGCATTCATTGGTTGATACCTGTATGTGCCCTGAGCAGGGATCAAACCTCAACCTTGGCGTATCTGGACAACACTCTAACCAACTGAGCTACCTGGCCAGGGCTCAGTGACAATCTTTAATTCAGAAAAAAAATTCAGTAAATTCACAAATGTCTTGTTAAAATGTATTGTTATGACAAAGAAAGAATTAAATATATGCATCAGTTGTGTATGGTTTTAGTTGTCAAAAAGACACTGTTCATTGTAAAGAGAGACAATTAATATACAGGGAAACAGCTACCTATAAATATACTTCTATTAATTTACATACACTGAATTTTGAAAATTTTTTCTCTTGAAATAGGTAATTTTATTTCTGAATCCTGATCTTCAAACTACATACTGTAACTATAAACATCCAAATGGGAGTGAAGGACAGAGTACTTATGTAATTTGGATGGTGTAACACACACACAATTATTTGAACCCAAATGAATTCTAAATAAAGTTAAAAACACTGACTCAACTTTAATAGATGAGCTTACTACTTCATACAGACAAGTTAGCCATTTGAGTGGTAAATTATCTTTCTCATCAACAGAGAACTAGTAATGATTACAGATATAGTAGTTAGCAACTGTGCTTAAATATTTCAATTGCTAAATTGAATATCAGACATTTTAGTCCACCTAAAAGTGGGGATTAGGAAGTAGAAACCGATATATCCAAACACAGCACAACAGCACAAGGGTCCATGCACAATGCCCCCTTTTGTCACTTCCAGATTAATGATCCAAGGAGCATGTGCAGGTACAAAGTTCAGTTGTAGAGATTAGGCTATTGAACTTCCAGAAGATAACAATATAGACAGAAATATTTAAATTAAAAATGCTATTGTACTCCAAATCAACTTTTGTGATTTATTACTGCATGCTTATTACCAGAAAAAAATATTTTACTCAGAAAACTTTTATGTGAACTGATTTTGTATTAGTTTTTCCACATGACTCTTCAGGACATTCACATCAGCTGCACAGACCTGGTACTCCATCTTCTCTTGCTGTTTTGTTCTCTCTAGTATAGTCTCATGTGGTGGAGGTAAAGCATTGTACGAACTCAATAAATAAAGCTGACTTGATGAAGTTTGGTTGATGTCTTGAATCTTTAAAGCTTGCATGATAGCAGGTGCAAACTTTGAGTAATGGGCTGTAGATGAGATCATCACTGGACAAGTCTTGTCTTGCATTCTGTCTGCAACCACTTTTGCAACAGCAGTGTGTGGGTCCAAAATATACCCTGAAGTATTGTAGGTGGAGTGGATAGCTGCTAGGCATTCCCCCTCAGAGCACCAATCAGCTACAAAATCCTGTTGAAGTTTCTCAACTAGAATCTTTTCTATCTGGAAGTGATGCTGCTCTTCTAATTGATTAAATAATTTTGTCATTAACTGTCCATCTTTACTAGCCATCAAGTGTAAGTGTCGTTCCAGGTTTGAAGATTTGAGAATATCTATTGCTGGTGAAAAGGTTTGTGCTAATTTTCTTCCCCTTAGATCATAATGTCCTGTTTTTATAAAATCAGTCAAAACGTGGTTCTGATTAGAGGCACAAATGAATTTCCGAATAGGAATCCCCATCATTTTGGCATACACTGCAGCTAAAATGTTACCAAAATTTCCTGTGGGAATACAGACATCCACTGGGCTTCCAAAAGAAATAAATCCTTGGCTAACAAGATCAAGATATGCAGAAGCATGATAAACTACTTGGGGAAGCAGTCGGCCCCAGTTTATGGAATTAGCTGAACTTAAGATTGTTCCATATTCCACAGTAAGAAAGCCAGTAAAATTGGAATCTTTAAAAATTCTTTTTATAGCTGTCTGGCAAAAATCAAAATCTGACTTGACACCCACTGCCCATCCATTTTCTTTCTGACTACCAATTATTTGTGCTTTTTGAAAGTCACTTACTCCGTTCTCAGGAAAAAATGTGGCCACGGCTATTCTTTGTTTGTCATTCTCATTAAGATGACTAAAACCATTTAAGACAGCACTCCCTGTGTCTCCTGAAGTTGCTACAAGTATCATATAATTACAACTTGGTGGGATACAGTATGCAAAAAGATGAGGCATAAGTTGTAAAGATAAATCTTTAAATGATCCTGTTGGTCCATAAAACAACTCCAAGATGAACTGGTTGCCAGAAAGGTGCCTGATAGGAGCAATTTTTGAGCAGGTAAAGTTTTCCCCGTAAGCCTTTTCAATCATTTCTCCCAATCTGGCAGCAGGTATGTCAGCAGGATGTATACACTTTTCTAATAGTATTTGTGCTCTTTCTACATAGGTTGCTCCTACTAGGCTTTTCCATTCCCCAGAGTTTAATTTTGGAAATTCTTTCTCAGGAACAAAGAGTCCACCATCAGAAGCTAACCCCTCAATCACAACTTCGCTAAAGAATTTTGTTGAAATCTTTTGTTCACAGTCTTTAGGCCAAATGTGTCTTGTTGAAATGAATGTTTCTGAGTCCACATCTTGATATCTTTTAACTGCATTAAGCACTTTGTCAGCTACCTTCTCTGGGGAAGCTCCACTTTCACAAAAAACACGGGTATCATACCACTTCTTATAATACTGTCTTCTTAATTTAAGTAACTCTATCATAGATGTCCCAGAATTCTGACCTACAATCCTATCTATTTTCATTAATTTTAGACGGCTAACTATATCTGTTAGAGGTACATCCAAGTATACAATTATTCCATTTTTCTTCAAATGCCACATGCTAGCATCATGCATTGGATTGGACCCAGTAAGGGAAATTACACTTCCAGATGCAGAGAAGTTTAACACGGCTCTTCCTTCCTCTTCTAAAAATTGTTCATTACCAACATCCTGCAATTTTTCAGACACACTCATATTCCAGGTTTTTTCAAGGATATCATCATCCATATCTATGACACAACAACCTAGTTTCTGACCTATTATTCTGCCTACTGTTGTTTTCCCAGCTCCAGGCGGTCCCATCAGGATAATATTTTTGTCTCCAACAAGCGAATGGGTTGAGTGCCATGACTTCCTTAATTCTGCAAGCACAAAGGTTCTTGAAAGAAATAGCTGTGGATGTTTATCCATGTTAACATGTATAAGAGAAAAACATTTCTCAGTTATTTTTTTCAGATGCTGACATCGGTTAAAGTTGAGCATTCTCTTTTCACTTTTCTGCTCAAGCCAACCTAAAAACTGGCCTTAGCCTTTTTCAAAACATAAAAACAAACAAAAAAAACATTTGGTTACTAATTTCAGGACTTAAAATCCTGACAGGAGTGAATGAATATAACATAACCATGCCCACAGTACATAAACTATTTTAAAATCTTCTATATTTACGAGACATTTAAAAAGTATTTGAACCCAAATTCCCGTATGATGCATATTATATTTTTAAAAATCATTTCAAATTTCAAGCCATTGAATAATCAGAACTTTAATAATCTGTAACTATTAAGCAAAAGAAGCTTTATTCAAAAAATGCTGTATAAGATACTTTTTAAAAATACATGCCACATCAAATTAACATTGCTTTTACTATAATGAAAATTGTTTTATGGTTTATAACCCATATGATTACTTGGAGTTGGAATGCTATTTACTTGCAGTTCACAAATGCTGATTAATACACTTTATATTTAATTTCTCTCCAGTTACATGAACATGTTGGTAGTCTATCATGTTACTCATAAATTTCTTATAGTCTTCACAATAGGAAACCAGAAGAAAAATTGCTTATGCTTAAATAACTTTCCAAAGTATAGGGCTAAGTTATGACATTTTTTTCTTATGTGACTTTTTTATGCATACTGTTAAGAATCATTCTTATTTTTTTTTCATACTGAAGACCTTAACAAAAAGCTAAAATGAAAGGTATAACATGCAAATAGTTAAGGAAAAGTGATCAGCAGCAGCAAGGTCAAAGGCTACATACATATAACTTTATGTGCATGGAACCATCACTTAGGTCTCTGTACTATAATCATCATCAGTGGAGAGACTTAATTAAAATTCCAGACTTCAAAGTGATAGCAAAAAAAACCCCTCAAAAATGTTACCAATGATAAAAGGAAAAAATTGTTCTGGCATCCAAAGCAGAGCTGCAATTCCTCAAATGGGTCAAATCCCTATTTTTGGAAATATACTCACCATTTTAACACAAATGTATGCCAGACAGGTCAAAATTCTAGTCACATGTATATAACACAAATGTATATCAGACAAGTCAAAGTTTTAGTTACATGTAGATGCAAGTTAATAACTTCTGCCAAATTTATTTAAATTGACTACAGTAACTTTATTGCCACACAGTGGAGCTTTTCAAATGTTCTGTGGTAGAACCAAAATGCAACTAAGCTATACTAAATGTTAGATTGTATATTTAAATATGTTCAATCATTTACTATTACAATTATCAATTCTATTTCAACTATGTTCTGTAATTAACTATTTAAACCATTTTAAGCTAACACTGAATTTAACTTACAAGTTAAACTACAACTGAGAAAAAACACATTTCCTTATTTGGCTTTCCAGGTTGTATGTGCTATGCTTAACTCCCAGTGACTTGTAAACATATGATACACACCCACCAATCTTAGACGATGAGTTTGCTGAAGCTGAGGCAAAGTCAATCTTTGCAAAAGTGAAGTCTACAATGGAAAAATTTTCAAGTTAATCATAACTGCATACCGTACCATAAAACTGTACACATAGACTAGTATATTATTAAAATGTCCATCTGAAATATTTAAAGTGCAGAAAAATAATGAATTGTTTCACCAAGTTTGTTATTAAAAGATTAAGATACTGCTTTTTTCAACATATGTGTCTTATTGTAAAAAAGAATTTTACTAAACAGTAATGAAAAAATTTCTGTCATCAAGCAATATAAAAGACAATATAATCAAATAATTAAAATATAAAATTTCTCACATGATACTTAAAATTTTAATGATTTAACGGGGGTTATAAATAAATTTTAGCCAGAATTCACAAATATGGAAGCTGTGAAAGTGAGGAACTGAATATCATTTTTATTTATGATTCAAACCTATGTTATTAGACGTTTTTCATTTATTTATATGTTAATATGTTTTTCAGTATAAGGTCACAAATAGGCAATTTTTCCTTAGCCAAAGGACAAAATTATATCAACTTAAATGAAAGTCAATCATGTAGGAGTCAGTAAACAAAAACAGTACTTACAGACCAAATCTTCTGCCCATAAAGTACTCAGTTTTTATCATTAATGTTCTCAAATACTTTCTGGAGAGCCAACCAAGTTCTACACAAAAATATTTTAGTTATTAACTGCTCAGAGGACGGAAGAACTACACAACTTCATTATAAATTAATAATTTTGGATAGGTTTTACTACTGATCACTTGTAGTGGGGCTTTTACTCAAATTCTAATGAATGTTTTAGACATAAAAAGAGACATCATTTAGGCATGTAAATGAAAAGGCAGTGATGTGTCAGGATCACAGAAATAACTTTAAAAGACAAAAAACATGTACATATTAATTCAAGTACTATGTGACATTAAGGTACAAAATTTCACAATTTTACTGTGATAAACTGATCAAAACAATTAAAAATTCAAGGGGAAAAGTACAGTACTCACTTTTCAAACTGCTTTGAAATTATTTCTTAAGAATGCTAATGAAGTTACATTTTAAATCAGAAATACAGGCTAACTTTCAGCAATTTATTTACAGTGATGTTTCCCTAAGTTTACCATTAGATGAATGATAATCAACCAAAATCATACTCAACCTGTTACCAATTTTTAGTTTCAAAATGGTCCACAATAATTTTTTGATTCCATTATAAAATTAGTTTTCAATTCCTCTGGGAAATTGTCAAAATCCTACTTAGTCAAAATGATTTAGCATTTTTTTCACCCATTTAAAATAAGACACAACACTTCAAAAAACTAATTCATGATGAGAAATACCTATAGTTCAATGAACTTTTGGAGGTATTTATGCTGTGATTATGTTTGTCATCCTATATTAATGCAATTTCGATTTAAATTTCTCACAAGAATGACTAAACCTAGTCCACTGTGAGGAAAGATACTGAGGTTTTTAAAAATTACTGCATTTTTACAGCATTATTTTCCAAGAGGTAATTAAGAACAAATGAGACTATACTAATGACATAAACTAATGCGGGGGCAGGGGCAGGTAAAGCTCTGTTGCTTCTCACTACTCAGCAAAAATCCTCTAAACAAGCTCCTCTTTCCATAGAAATTGTGAGGTGGAGAGTGTGAAAGGACCACACACTCCAAAGCCATGTTGTAATCATAGGGATCTTACAATCAAAAGCATATTTTTACAAGTTCACCATTCACTGTTGCCTTTACCTTAGTATCAAAGCTGACTAGGCATTTCCTGTTGTTTCTTTGTGCTGTTAGTTATCCCCTTAATGCTCTTGAATATTTAATTCAATACTTTTAAAGCACTTTTCCAATTTATAACTTAGAAAAATATTTTAAAGTATATCTGTCTTTATAAAGGGTTTATTTTCCTCCCAGTTGTCTCATTTATATTCACAACTACACCCATTTTATTCATCTAACTAGATTAAAATAATCTTTAGCAAAAAAACAACAACAACAAAGTCAACCCTACTTCGGATGTACAACCACTTATATCAGGGGTCTGCATCAACTACAACCCACAGGCCAAATCTGGCCCACCGTTCATTTGTAAATTTAAACTAAGTTTCAGGGAACATAACTTTGATGAGCTACAATGGTACCATTCAGTAGTTGCAACAGAAACCACCTGGCCTGCAAAAACTTAAATATTTATTAACTAGCCCTTTACAGAGGAATTATATGACCTCTTATGGATCCTGTGGACATACTGGACATAGGCTTACCTATGAACCATAGGCTTACTGGACATACCTTGAATGGTATTGCCACTTTGAGGGAGTTATAGTAATTAGAAATACTTTGTTAACATGCTTTCAAAAAATAAACAGAATTACAGACCAAGTATCTAAGTGAAAAGTTATTTTCCAAATGATTTAACAACTTCCATAATAACTATAAACCAAGTATCTTATAGTGAGATAAAATTCAGTTCAGTAATTTTAAAACCACAATAAACATGACATCAGCGAAAATACTGTATTAAGAAACACCAGGAAGTTAAAACTAAGGCCAGTCAGCACTTATTAACTGAAGAAACGTTTTTCTTTGCCCCTACTGGCTCCTAAATGAACTGATTAACATAAACAGTCTTGAAGTGTTCCTTCTAATTAGAAAATTTCTAAGTTTTTGCAATGACTATCCATTTAGCTAATAGTATTACCATTCTGAGTCCTTAGTTCAAACCTCAGTATGTAGAAATTCTTTTATACATATTTGTAGAAATTCTTATCTACAGAATTTCTCTATATATACACTGACCAAAAAACCCCAAACAAAAAAATACTCAAAGGGGAAACAAAAAGGTCACAGCGACATACATACATGTTTTGAAAAATAAAAAATCTGATGTGGAGAACAGGGGAATCATTCCCAAGGTGTCACCGGCCTGAAATAAAGTATTTGTTAAATGCCTGGGATAAAAATGAACATCAACTGCCTAAAAAAAAATACATTAACACTTATCTAATGAAATTCACGGATTCCCAAATGATAAAAACCCACACAATCAACAAAGCCTTTTAAGTAGGAACTTAAAAAGTTAATTAAGACACCATACGCTTTTAATCCCCCCACTGAGTAGACTGGCAGTGAGACGACCAAAACTGGGGTTCTGTCCCATCTTCGAACATTTTTATTGTCTTTGGAAATGACACTTGTAAGGTCAGCGCAGAACCATCTACTTTTCTTCCTGAATTACATTGCCAAAATGTTTTTTTAGAAATTCGGAAGTCGAAGCTTTTGAAGTTTCTCTCGGGAGTCATATTTGTATAAACACGTTTATGTAAGACCAAATGGATTGAGAACGGAATAAAACTGCCTCTCCTAAAGATAAATTTTCAAAGACACACACACGTGAGCAAAAACTAAAGGGCCCATTTAAAAGGATTCCTCTGGTTTAGGTTACTGGTTTTAAAAAAACAAAGCCCACACAAATGTGGAGAAAGACCTAAAGAGAAGGGGGCGGATCAAGAGGGAAACCGGACGGAAAGCAGGAACTGTTAAGGTGCAGGAGCTATGGGAGAAGCCGGGTCGCGACAGGTGGATGGCGGAACGTGGGCGCACAGGGAGCTCAGGCCAGCCTAGGCCAGAAGCAGAAGAGAAATGAGCTGAGATGACAACAAGGGAGCGGAAAGGGGAAGGTACAAAGGGATAAGGCATGCGATGGGAACGGACTAGTGACTATAATCTCCCTTTATTTTTCCTCAATTAACTCACCAAAAAAAATCACACTGAGAAGACGGGGATAAGGAAAAGGAAATGGCAGGGAGTACCCAGGAGCTGCCAGTGTCGCCTTGGTATCGAACCCCACACCTATGGCCCTCCCCACACCCGACCCACGCAGAGGCCCGGGTGCTCACTAGGCCTGCTCCAAACCCGCTCTGCTGACCCTGCGACTGCGCCTGCGCCGGTGCGGACTTGCGCGTCTGCGCTCTACACCCACGCCCAGAGCAGCCGGGCGTGGCACGTGACTCTCGCTGGGCGTTTCACCTACGAGTCCTCCCTGCTCCCCGGATCCCTCCCCTTCCTCCTCCCGCTCTCTACGTTAAACGTGCGTCAGCGTGGTCTCCTCCCCTTTCTCCGCCCCACCGTTATCTGGACCCGCGCTGGAGAGCGTTATTGTGACGTTTTGTGCCCGCTTCGTTTCTCGTGCGTTTGCGTTCGCGTTCTTTTTTCTCTCCAAGTATAGAGACAGAAAAGGGCAACATTGTTAACAGGACGCCTTTTTTCACTCCATTACTTCCAGAGGCACATACAAACAGTGATCTCCAGGTTGAGCTTTCCAGGCAAAAGAAGGTGCTGCGGAGACGGAAAATAGGAAACGTACTTTGCGGTACTTCCTCGTTGCCTAGTAACTGTTTCCAAGGCAAGCTCACGGTCAACAACGCTAAGCAACTCCAAGAGGAGTAGGGTATCTTCCCAACAGAGGACCGCTAAGAAGAGGTCAAAGGGAAATTGCGTGAAAAAGAGAAACCTTTGTTACTTGAGAAGGCAAGAGAGTAGGAAAGGAAAGGGGAAGCAGTGAAGAAAGGGACGGAGATATTGGTATTTTGAGAAAAAAGTTGAGTAGTTTTGAGGAGTCATTTGGTGGCCATGGATTCAACATGCTCTTCTGAGAGCATTTATAACCTCATACCCAGTGACTGGAAGGAGCCTCCCCAGCCTCCTAGGTATGTAGGTAATACAGGATTATCACTTGAAAAAAGAATGGGGAATGATTATTCTATTTCAGGATTAATAAAGCATCATATGACTTTTAAAAAGAAATTAAAAATAGATTTTTCTTAATGAAGCAGCCTTGGATAATAACTTCCTAAATAAAAGTCTGCAAAATCTAGATATTTAGAATCTCGAAATTCAGAGGGGGCAATCCAGTGCTGTTAGAGGGCCATTTTATGTTAGTCTCCTGTAATATGGTATGTAATTGTTTTGTAATTTATCTGATTTGTTCGCACATGATGTGGTATGTAACATTTGAAATTTATGTGGTATATGGTATATGTGAAATTTCTTATTGTTGAAAAGAAAAAAATCACAATTTTATCCTGTGTTGGGGTACTTGATATTTAGTTTTAAGAGTTGTTTTATTTCTGACTGCTTTGTTCCTAAAGGGCTAGTGCTCATTTTCCCCTATTATTGTCAAACATAAATTAGTTTGTTTCTGAGCCTCAATTTTTACTACTTATTATTCATTAATATTTTTAAAAAGAGAGAAACATCAATTTATTGTTCTACTTATTGATGCATTCATTGATTGATTCTTGTGTGTGCCTCCACCAGGGATTGAACCCGAAACCTTGGCATATCTGGATGACGCTTGTACCAACTGAGCTACCCTGCCTGGGCAGAGCCTCAGTTTTTTGCTCAGTGCAACAAACAAAAACAGACAAGATAGTTTCTAAGGTCTCTTATGGGTCCAATAGATGGAAGGAAGAGTGGATAGATAGAGAACCAAAAATATGTAATTGATTTAAAATGTTTATATAGGTGATAGGCCCTTTTAAATTCTCCAAATTTCAAAAAGATCATCATAAAATACACTTCATTTACTTTCCTGTGTAGGGGTTTAGGACTTATTTAAGTCAATAAGGAGAAAAGAAGGTAAGTAGTGGAGAAAAGCTCATTTTTCCTAGGACTTTGCTGTTACTCACCTTTTGCCTTTTCCTGATTCAAGTCAAAACCACATTAAAAGCATTAGGCTAGGGAACAAAAACAACAGAGGCTGCAACTAATTGGTTTTGGGATTATGGATTAATTTTAGTTTGTTTTCTGATCTGTAAAACTAAGTCTTTATGGCTCCTTTCATATCTAATGGTCAGTTGTTTTTACTGATAATTACCTGGTGTGGATAACATCTTCAGTAGGTGAGCGCATCCTTCCCTTTTAAGCCTGCGCATCTTAGTTTTAATCAGAGCAGTAGCTGCATTGTTTTCCATTCACTTCTCAAAATCTAGTAGATATTGGAAAAGGGAATGTAAAGAAGATATGCTACAGTTGCAGAATTTATGAGCAGTGTTCAAAGTAACTCTTACTGAATGGACTTTTGGTCCAAAATTCCTGTGTATTGTACAAGATAAAGCTTCTCTCTGTAACCCACTGGCAGATTGTCTTTTCCCTAGAGTACTGAATTTGAATGGTAAAATATTTTATTAGATAGGTGTTCTGTCATTGGTAAATTAAAAAAGGTTTACTATGCATCTAGGTGATTTTTTCAAGAAGTTTTATGGGAACAGCCTTTTTCATTTGGCAAGCATTAACTGAGCCCATATAATGTGTACAGTATTGTCCTTGGGGAATATTGGAGTGACTACACAAACTCCTTAGTTTACTTTGAAGGAATATGGTGTTACAGAACTCTTTCTGTTAATGAGTCAGCCCACAACTACTAATTTATAAAAACAGAGCATAATTACAAATTTAACCAATTCTTACCACACTAACACAACTTATCCTGACTCAATCCCCTTACTGATAGTAAGAATTAGTCATAAGAAATATATTAAGATACAAGGCTTACTTGTATTACTGAGTTATAAACCCAGCTTCAGGAAAGCTCACTATAGTCCCTGGCTGGATAGCTCAGTTGATTAGAACATTGTCCTGATACACCAAGGTTGCAAGTTCAATCCCTAGTCAAGGCACATATAAGAATCACCAATGAGTGTATAAATAAGTGGAACAACAAATTGATATTTCCTTCTCCCCCTTTCCAAAATCAAATTTTTTTTAAAAAGCTCACTGCAGCTCTTTACAAGACTGGCAAGGTGATTGTCCAGCTTTCATAAAGAGTTGGATTTTTTTTTAAGTAATCAAAAATTGGCTCTACTGTGATATCCTATACCTCAGAGTTTGGTTCCCTTGGGGAACAAAAATAACATTAAAACATTCATTAACAATAAAACCATATGTTATCAAAAACCCTAATGAGAGATGTAGATACTAAATGAGACAGATGTCTGTTACCAAATAGATATTATATAACCAAAGTAGGGTGAAGGACAACCTTTTCCATTTGACCAAAACTGGGACTTAAGATGTAAAAGTGTTAAAGTCAATGGGAAATGAATCAGTTTCAAAATTTTATTTACTCATAATTTCTAAGATCTTTGCCAAATTTGTGACCCTTCTATTGATAAGTCCAGCAACTTGACATCTCTGATCATTCTCTCTTTCCCTTTTGTTTAAGGTAATATTCCATGTTTGGTCTGAATAGCCATAGAGTGATGATCTACTTTCCTTGATACACAATACTTATATTGATACATCCATTAGCATTTTGACAGTCATGTTCTACCATTGTCTCACATTGAAATTTCCACATGAATTATGACTGGTCCCTCCCACCCTACAATTGTGTAGCTGATTCTTTTTTATCTAAACTCATCATTAATCTGTGGAGTTTTGAATTTTTAATCTTTCACACACTCTCAACCATCACTCCCAGCTTTGTGTCATTTGTAAATCCAACGTCTTTTATATCTCTATCAATCATCAAACAGGGCAAGTACAATACTTTGCACTTTAGTAGGCTACTAGATATTTTTTTCTAGGTAGACAGCAATAATGGACAGCGTCCATTAATCAGTTCATATTTCTCTACCTTATCAGTAAGAATTTAATAAGAAGCTTTACTAACATCGAGATATGTATTATTATGTCTAAGGTATTTTCCTGATTTATGAGTCCAATTATCTTATATTTTAAAAAATGATCTTCATTTCAGTGACCTAAAATTCCAAATAGCTCATGCAATCATTGCTGCTCCACAAATTTTTAAATGCTCTTTGAAATTGACATCAGCTCATCTGTGTAGAGTTTTTGGATGCATGCTTTTTGAAAATGGGAATATTTAATGTCATAAGCACTCAGTAGTCATTTCTCTTTTATGCCTTTAGGGTTTTCTTTGAGGTAATTTTGACATGTAGTCAGAATTTCATTTTCAGAGCTTCTCATTTGTCTTGGACTACCCTTCATTTTAAAATATATTTATGTATATTTTAATATATATACATACACATACATTTTCTGAATGATTGTAACATTTTCCTGTTTAAAGTCTGATTATGTATCTGAGATCTTGATATGAAATCTTATCTGACATAGTAATTTTTTCCTGAGGTTCTTATCTACTTTACTGACTAATTATAGCCAATAATTCAATTGGGAAAAGTAGTAGCACTTTTAAATGGACTTATATTCAAAGTCAAGAATATTCCATCTTTGTTTTTAGCATAATGAAATTTTATGCTAAAATTCCCATTGTTGCAATATATGGCCTTGGACAGTTTTATGATTAGTGCTAGAAGTCATTATTCAGATTTTTTCATCTGGCTATCCAGTCTCCACAGATTTACGTAATAATAACACTTCTCTTCATCTCTTGAGTTATTTTTACCCAAGTTCTCTTCTCATACTTATATATTTTCATTCTAGACATAAACCTCACAGTTCACATAGATTTTAAAATCACCAGAAAAAGCAAACATACAACTTAAGATGTGCTATAATTAATATATTCACCTAAAAAGTGCAGAAAAATTGAAGGTCTGGAAAACTAGAAATGGAAGAGATAATGAGGAAAGGCACTTTCTTTTCTTCAGATATGTGGATAAAGGTAAGGGCATTCACAAGTAGGATTTGTCAGGAAGAAGAACTGCAGCTTCCATCTGCATTTACTGACGTAATGTTTGTTTATTGTGGGTTATTCTCATTTGGATTTCTATAGGTTATATGTAACATGGTATATTAACACATCTCTCTGGCATTTCACATATACCTTTAAATGTTGAGGAGAAAATATGCCAAAAATATTTCTTAAAATTAATTGCCAGGGAAATTTATGAATAAATTTCATAATTTCATAAATTTATGAAGTGAACTTTTGTGTTAGGTTCATTTTTTAGAAGATTATTCCATTCCAGAACAAAGTTCAATATCTTAAGCACAGAACATACACATCATGGTATGGGAATCTGTTTATTACAAGTCAGGAAATTATGTCTGTCTACGTCTGTTTCTTGTGATAATCATGTATATACCATGATGCAACATTTTTAGAGAATAAGATTTTTCTGCTAACATACAAGTAAAATAAAAGGTCAAACTTCTTTTTAATGTAAGCAAGATGAGTATCCAATGATAATAATAATAATGATAATATGTTCAATGTATTAGTGTTTACAATGTGCCAGGAATACAATGTGATTGTGTTTTACACAATCATTATTTTATTTAATTTTCTCAAGAACCCTATGAGATGAGTAGTATTAGCTCAGTTTTATGTAAGGGAAACTCAGGCCCAGAACACTGAGGCAGCTAAGATGAGCAAGAGCTAAGACTGAATTATATGTCTGACACTAAAGCACATAACTTTAGCCAGTTTGTACACTGCCTTTTAACTTGAGTAACTAATTAAAACAAACCGTAAGAGTACCTTTTTCTTCAATAGCATATGCATTTTAGTCTTCAGATAATTTAGCATGTATCAGATACTGTTTAGTATTTATACATTATCACATTATAATGTGACAAGATTTTTAAAATAAGGATATCAAAGCAAATAAAAACAAAGATAGAAAAGTAAGAATATACCACAAATGAGCATGAACTTTCTTGTACATGAAATGTATGCTTTAAAGTATATTATGTTTGCTTAAAATCTGATACAAAT